ATGAGAAAAGGGGAAAAAAATGGAAACAAAGTCTTTGCAAATAGCAAAGGGTAGGGGCCGGGGATTTAGCTCAGTGGTTCCACCGCCTGTCTCGCAAGCACAAGGACCCGAGTTTGATCCCCAGTACCAAAAAAAAAAAAACATAGCAAAGGGTGGAGGGGGTGAAGGGAGGGCAGGGGAAAGGGAAAAAAAATAAAAACCAAGATACATCATGTAAAGGTACAAGATCCCAATGATGAATGTAACTGCATTTTATACCTAAAATGTACCAATAAGCTTAATAGAAAAAAAAAGAGAGAGAGAAACCACCAACAGAGCTAAGAGACAACCTACAATGTGGGAAACAATTTTTAACAGCTATTCCTCAGACACACTTGTTCTAGATGTATACTATCTAGAATATATAAAACTCGAAAAAACAGACCCCCCCCCAAATATAAAGACCCAGTTCAAAAATGGGCATCTGAAATGAACAGACATTTCTCAGGCAAAGAAGTAAAAGCAGCAAATAAACATATGAAAAAATGTTCGCCATCACTAGTCACTGGAGAGATGCAGATGAAAACGCTGAGATTCCACCTCACTCCACAAAGAATGGCTGCTATCAAGAAATCAACCAATAACAAATGCTGGCGGGATTGTGGGGAGAAAGGAACCCTTCTCCATTGTTGATGAGAGTGCAGACTGGTGCAATAACTGGGGAAGTCAATATGGAGAAATCGCAAACAACTAGGATTAGAAGTCCCACTTGACCCAGCTATTCCTCCGCTGGGTATCTTCCCAAAAGAATTAAAAGAATCATATCACAGCGATATATGGTCACTCATGTTTACAGTGGCACAGTTTGTAATAGCTAAAGCTTGGAAACAGCCCAAGTGCCCATCAACTGGAGACTGGATAAAGAATATGTGGGTAAAGATTGAGGCCATACTCTTAAGTGAAATAAATAGGACACACATGTGTAAATATAGAACAGTTTCTCTGGTGTGAAAAACTAAAAGTGTAAATAAGAATCAATATGTATAATTGATACTGTGAAATAGGAAGAAAGGATCTAAAGGAGTAGGGGAAATGCGAGGGGTACAGGATAGGAAAGAAAGAAAAAGAAAAAATATGAGAAAAGAAAAAACATCGAAACAAAGTCTTTGTAAACAGGGAAGGGTGGAGGGGGTGAAGGGAGGCCAGGGGAATGGGGAAAAAAAATAAGAACCAAGATACGTCATGTAAGAGTATAAGATCCCAATGATGAATGTAACTGTATTGTATACCTAAAATGTACCAATAAACTTAATGGGGAAAAAAAAAAGAAAGGACACAATGTATTTTTCTTCTCTAGTTTCAGTCAAATTTTATAATGTTTTCGAATTTTGTACTATACCAACTCTATCCTTCATTATTTGATCAGAACCATCTGAGAGAACCTTCCTTAATTCATTAGAGTAGATGTACTTTATCATCTTTAAAAAAATTTTAATATAGTAAATAAATTAGACATTCTGTCAATGATTGAATTTTCTTATTTGCAGAGAAAGCACCATACTATCACTTACTGTAGAAAATCAATTATTTTTAAAGAAAGAACAATTTGGGGACCAAAAAAGTAAAAGAAAGACTGCTCATGTCTACATACAACTTTAAGATAATTTTCTTTCCAATTAAAAACTATATATTACTTATAGAAAGCTATCAAGCTAAAGCAATTTGTTGTTCCACACAGCAAGACCAGTGGCATGGAAATGGGCAATGTTTCCAAGCAGTACCTCTACAACTAAACAGCGCAAATGCAGTGGACCCTCAAGTTACGACTGGCGTGACATACAAACAACTTGGGTTAATTAGGTTAATGGAAGATTCATCTGCCACTAGTTATCTGTAGTGTGTACCCAGGTAAACATCCAAATCTCAGCTGTACTGACTTACAACCAACTTGAGTTACAACCAGCCCTCAGGAAACAATCGAGTTTGTAAGTCAAGGGTCCACTGTACAAGGAAAATTCACATCAATAAAAGGCATGAATTCATTCTGAGTTTCTCACACTTATGATTCCTTTGTTTTTAGGGTATCCTTTTGAATTAGCCCTTTTAAGTTCTCCTTAGCTCAACTACAGTTTATAAATATTTCATTATAAAGTATGGTCTCCTTGAATTACTTGGTAAGGAAAAAGAAACCCAAATATTACACTATTGATAAACACAAGGATAGTAATAATTAGGCTTATTCCAAATCTAGAAATAAATAAAAATTAAAATTAAATAGGTTAGGTGGCCGGAGATTTAGCTCAGTGGTTCTGCTGCCTGCCTCGCAAGTGCAAGGTCCCGAGTTCGATACCCGGTACCAAAAAAAAAATTAAATAGGCCAGGGGATGTAGCTCAGTGGCAGAGCACCTGCCTGGCAAGTGTGAGGTCCTGATTTCCATCCCCGGTACAAAAAAAAATTAAATTAATGTGAAGACCCTAGTTTTTTTTACTTCCTTACCTCTTTGTTTCTGCCATTTACACAGCTGTAGTCATTACTATTTTCATCATAGGAAAATGTTATTTCTCCTGCTTAGATATGTTTATAAATCACTGACTTCTCACTTCTTACACATATCATCACAAAGTGTAATTAGTCCCATCAAAGCAAGAAAACATGGTAAACTTTTGGTTGACAGTCAGAGTCACCTAATTTAGGCACAGCTATGTGACTCTGAGCCAATTCAATTTGGTCACATGTATAACTAAAATTATAATATTTAACCCATCTGTTACGATTTGGGTCTAGATGTCCCCCCAAAGCCTCATGTAGTCGTAGTTTCGGTTTTTTCAGAGGTGGCTGAAGTTAGAGTGTGTGGTTGATTCATGGTGCAATTCTAAACTCAAGGGCACTAGGATTAAGGGTTTGAGTACCACCCACCCTAAGTAGTCTGAATAAGATAAAAGGGGCAGGAAAACTCTGTTAAGGTTCCTTGTTGCTTTTGCTACCTTTGGTCCACTATGAACTGCTGCCTGTCTGCCATTCCACCCTACCTTGGAGCCAGCTGATTATACACTGAAACTGCTACAGTGAGCCAAATAAATCTTTCCCCATTTAACTTTTAGTGTTGGATATTTTGTCTCAGCAACAAGGGAAAAGGAACTAAGACACCATCAGCATGAGATAAGGCTTGCAGGAGATGAGTGGATGTGAGGGAGCTTTGAAATGTGTAGAGTGCTCTGCCATAAAGAAGAATGAACTTCATTTATAGTTAAATGGATAGGCCTCGAGACCACATTCTTAAGTGAAAATAAATCGAATACACATGTTTAAATGCTGCATTGTTTCTCTGGTGTTGAGAAACTGAAAGTGGAAATGACTAAAATGTGTAATAGATATTGGGAAATGGGAATAAAATATTCAAATGGGAAGGGGAACAAGGGAGGTGGGAAGAAGGGAGGAAGGATGGAAGGGACAAGAAAAAAAGTGAAAATAGAAGGAAAAACTGGAAACAAAGCTTTTGTACATAGGGAGGGGAAGGGGCTTAAGGGAGAGAGAACATGGGGAAAAGGTGGGATGTACCATGTACAGATGCAAATTCCCTCTCATGAGTATCATCATCATGTATGCCTAAAATGTACCAATAAATGTTTTGCTATTAATAATGTGTAGAGTACTATACAAATGTGAGGGACTCAGTTTCCTCATCTGGCACATGAGAGGATTCAATTAAATAATCTCTGAAGACCTCCCATTTCCAAAATTTTTTTGATATTTACATTTGAAGTACATTTAAAAATATGATAGGATAATTTTAGTTTCTGGCTCTTAAGAGACTGAGAGAACACTTAACCTATCCTCATGCTACAAAATGAGCATGCAAGCAAGGTAAGAGACTTGTGTAGCATCCATGTCAGTGGAAAAGTGGGAGTTGACAGGACTAATCCCTGACTACCACCTCAAAGTCCTTCCTATCATCTGCAGCTATGGCTGCCATAGTCACTATTCTGTGAATTTAAAATCTCTATTCAAATAGAATTATGCCATTTAAACAATTACTTTTACAAATTGTCAAAATGAAAAGCTTATTAAGGAGATGTAAATATTATTTTGGTGAGATGATCCAACAACTAATAGCCAAATTAAAAGTATTTACAAATGATACTAATAGCCGCAGGTACTCAGACTGAACTGTCCAGCTGTTTGTTCACTTTCTGATATTAAATGTTAAGTCAATGGGCATAAGCTAAACTCTATTTAATCTTTGCTAATAAAGAGTTTTGATTCTGCTTTTGTTACTAACTAGCTATGTGATCTTGAGGAATTTAGTTTTCTGTTTTAAAGAGGAAGGATAATACCAACTTTGTCATCTGGCTAAATTAAATGAGTTAGCTCTCACCTCAAGGCCTTAAAATGTAAGTACTTGGATGAGTTAGTTCCTTTCTTTAATATATACTTTAGGAAAATATAGAATGCTTTTCCTTTTTGTTTACTTCCTCAAAAAGTTTCCTTAAGTGGGCCAGGGATTTAGCTCAGTGATTCTGCCACCTGCCATGCAAGCACAAGGTCCCTAGTTTGAGCCCCAGTACCAAAAAAAAAAAGTTTCCTTAAGTTATACATATATATATGTATAGGTCCTGGTCCTCAACTTTGGTAACCAACAGTTACATAACAAACTATACTAAATAAAATGAGAGGCACTGTGACATAATAAAAGGCAAATATTTTTTGCAGTCATCAGATATGTTTGAATCCGAGCTTAATTGTTTTAAGAGCTTGACCTTCAGCAATTTACCAAACTTCACTAAGCTTCTCATCTTAAAATGAGAGTATTATCTAGCTTTTTATCATTTGTCTTTCTTATTCACAATTAGGGTACAAATACTTTGAAAAGGACAAGTCTTCTTTATCTTTGTCTCCTCCAAAGGACTTTGGCAAGGTTTAAAATGAGAAGATTTGCTGCTGGAACAAAGCAAGATATTGATTAAAAAGGATTTAAGACTAGGAAGACACTTGTTACATTAAGGAAAGAAAATGTACAAACCTAGTTTAGCTGGCTCCATCTTTAGGCATTCTGTACTTGGTTCCTTTTCTTTCTTTACAAATGGACTTCAAATATTCTTTTCCTAAAAGAAGATCCCGAGTAGGGAATATGTATTAGCAAAGGAAATTTGAATCACTCTTTAAAACTGAGCATTCTTTAATTCTCCATGAGGCAAAATTAAACTTTTATGCTATTGGATAACCAAGAGGTGTTTTAGTTGATTAATAGAAAAAAATTATATGTTTAAAGATCAAAAAAATAACTACTTCCTTTAATATCAATACATTTTTTCCTTACTTCAAAATAAGACTTTGAAAGAATAGCAACACCTTTGTTAAAGATGACTTAACTACCCAGGGATTTCATGAAGTACTATAGCTAATTGCATTATACAAAGATGCTTCTGGAGCTACAGTTTCTTAATTTGGGGGATAGAAGGCGAGTGGTGAGTTATGCAAAACTATGGAAATCTGAAAAAAAAATCTGTGAATTGCATTTTTTAAAAATGCACATACATGCATATTTTACATATAATTTTAGGTGAGTCATAAAACCAGACTTGTACCCTTGGATCTCTAAAACCTGTTAGTAAACTCCAAGTAGTTAATCTTTGTTCTTGAGTTTTTAAAAATGTATTAATCTAAAGGATTTTAGACCCTAAAGCAATTTAAGAATCATGTAATACAAACTTCTGATGAAAAAAAATGAAGACTAGTGACTGAGAAAGATGAAAAGAATTAAGTAAGGCCTCATTGCATTTAAGGACAGAGAAGTACCCAACCAGTAAGAGAACCGAATCAAATTTCCCCATAAGGTCAACATTGAACCTAACCATTTAATTTGATTCGGTTCTCCTCCAATTCTGTATGCAAACAGAATCGTACAAAGAATCAAGTTTGTGAATTGAGGTACCACTGTATACAGGAAGATGCAGAAGTTAGTATAAACCAATGACTTTGGATCAGAGTAATTTTCACAGAATAAGAGAATTTTAAATGGTTTCTCCTCTCATTCACCCTTTTGGTCTAAGCATATAATAGATTATCAGTGGTTATAAGAATTATCTTTGGAGTTACAGAGATGTGTGAAAAAGTTGATCAAGTTAATCTTTCTTATCCATAGGTTTTCAAACACAAAATGAAAAGAATAAAACCCGACCTTGTAGGATTATTTTAAGGATAAAATGAGAAAACATAAAAAAGTAACACAGTACCTAGTATATAGCAAATATTCAAGAAATTATATGAATTCAAAAATTCTTGCTAAGTCATAGAACAAAATATGAAAAATGCCCCAAAGTAAACGGAACGTTTTCTAGCTAAACAAAACAGATGGTAAAATTAAATACTTACTATCTCACTTAATGCCACACAATATCATACTATTCAAGGTGTTACTAAGCAGACAAAAAGGAGAAAGCTGTTTCCTTTTAAGAGTAATTAGTCAGACACAGGACTTTTTCCTTCTCAATTTCTTTCTCATGTTCTTCTTTTTCTCTCTCCTTTTCGGGTTCAGAGTTTTGCCCAATGTCTGCACTACACTGGGACTGGGAGGACCTTCCAGTGAATCCTCCCAATCCTGGCCCTTCCTGTGAGCCTCAGACTCCTGTGTCTGCTTGTTTGCTAGATATTTCTGCCTGAAGGCAAAGCCTCAGTATGTTCAACCCTGAGTTGCTCACTTTTCCTAAAATCTGTTCCTATCAATAAGCAGCACCACAGTCACTTAACCATTAAAGTCAAAAGTCTGGTGATCATCCCACATTTTGCCAATTATCTTCAAGTTGTACTGCTTTCTACTTTTGGCACTTTTGAAATCTACATGTCCAACTCATTCCCTATTAACAGTATCCAAACCCAGGTTATTGTCTCCCAATATGACCAAATCAGTAGTCTAACTCATCTGTGTACCACTACTCTTATCCCATCTCAAATTTATTTACTATAATGCTGCCAAAATGATGCATATCAAGCACTAACACATGCCAAACCCTTCAATGGCAACTTACCACTCACAGAATACAGTCCAACCTCACTGACAAAATCAATGTCCACATATGACATACAAACTCTTTTTTAGCCTGGCCTAAGCTTATTTCTTCAGCTTCACTTTCTACCTCCTAGTTCATCACACCAGAGCAACACTGAACTATGTCAATCCCAGAACTGTCCAGCTGTTCTCTTTGTCAGTCTATCCTTACTGGCTTTTCACACAGGGGAAACTTACTTGTTCTTCAAGCAACAGGTCCAGCATTATCTGGAAATCCTGGCCAGAGCATATTTCTCTACCACACCAAGCTCGCTCATTACAACAAGCACTTAGGAGATGTTTATTAAATGGAATAAGTATGAAACTAAGCAAACTAATGACAAAGCAATATGTGATTTACATAGGCAAAGCCAGAGAGGAAATAAAAGAAACATATTCAGGGGAAGCTGCAGAGACATCTGTACGACAAGGTTTGGAAGGATAATAAATGACAAACTCACAAATGTAGCTATCCTTACAAAGAAACTTTGATACTATAATCCAAGACTTTCAAACACTTTTCTCTGAAATTATATGGTACCGTTGCAATTTAGAGTCTACCCCGCATTTCCATCAGAAATGTTTCAGATAAGAGCATATTTTCATCATTTGATCACTTCTATGCATTCTTATAGGTTTGAGAAGATATCCCCAGTTAATCTGCACTTACTGAAGAACTTTACATAATACTCTCAAATTACAACATATTTCTATATTGCATAATTAATTGAATTGGAATAGGCAATATATCCTTTTACTGATGTTAAGGCCTAGTTAGTCTTACAACATAAGCTTTAATATTACAAAATCCAAATCAGCAGGGAAAAGTAAAACTAGGGTAAGCTAAATGTACAATTTACAAAGGATTTCAACTGCAAATATTTTGTTTTCTGAACGCAGTATAATTAAAGATATCAACCCTTAAACTTAAATAAATGAGCCACACTACAGAGGAATAGATCTATGAGATATTTCCACTTAAAAAGTGAAAATTAAGGCCATCTACCAAACATAAGAGGAAGCAAATGCTGTAATACTTTTTTTGTTTGCTTGCTTAATTGCTTTTGAGACAGGGTCTTGTCACACTATCTAGGCTAGCTTCCAATTCTAAATCCTCCTGCAACAGCATCAGAGTAGCTGGGACTTTAGGCATGCACCAGGCTCTGCCCTCAGCTTATAGCCACTCTTAATGACACAAAAATTGCTGCTTGCAGTAAAGACAAAAAGCATTCATGGTAGCTAGGTAGAGTGGCTCATGCCTGTACTCCCAGCACCCTGGGAGGATCACAAGTTCCACCTTAGCCTGAATAACTTAGCAACAAAGTGAGACCCTGTTTCAAAATAAAAGGGTGAGGGGGCTGGGGATATACCTCAGTTTGAAGGCCCTGGGTCCAATTCCCAATACTGGTATGGGGGCAGGGGGGGCACATATTTCACTATAATATCTTAGAAGGTCATAGAATCAGGCAGAAGAGGATCAAATCAAAATGATATGCTAGACAAATAACTCAGTCATCCCAAATTGAGGCATCTCTGAATGTAAGTTTGTATCATTTTTGTGTTAAATATTTAACTGTATAGCTGTATAAGATAATACCCAACACACATCTATACCAAGGAGAAAGGTAATTAGAAAACAGGCATATACTGACAAGCACAGAATCACACTGGAGTACAAAAGTCACTGCATGGGGTTTTACATCTTCTTATCCTTTGCCCTGTAAATGCCAATTCCCTGCTTTCAGGTGTGCAGAAGGTAAAAGGTGAGATATAAAGCTGAATGCTATTTTCAACATAACATTGATGCTATGTCAGAAGGTAGGGGTAATTCTCATTCTCACATAATACCTGTCATTTTAAAACACCCCTACTGATATGAACTAATATTTGTGAATGAGAGGGTAAAAAATTCCTTTCAGTTGTTGCATACAAGCAAACTGACAGATATGAAGGCATATATGGTAGTCCTTGATTATCAAACCTTCTCACATATAAACACCATTATAAAAATTTTTCTGTGAGAAGAGGGACTAATACTGCAAATGTGCTAGGAAGAATAACATAAAGCATAAAAGAAACAGCAGCCCACCAATATAACATTGACAACATGCTTAAATGTGCTGCAGAAGATAGTTTAGATGCTGTCAGTCAATGTTACCTATGTTTCTTCAATATTCTATTTTAGGAAAAACCCTCTGACTTAGGGAATATGGAATCATACATCTGATCTACAACAGCAAATTGTTTTCATCTGGTATGTACTTATTCTTGACTAAGAGAGTCATATATGTCTTGTGATCATATCTGAAATATAAAGTAAAATGAATACCTGTAATGTATAAATGTAAAGATTACTTACAAAAGAGCAGAATATAGAGTCGGCCAAAAAATGTACACAGCAGGAAAAGAAAAACTTGCATAAATATTTTAATACTAAACTTACTGAGACATTATGAGATTAATACAAGTTACCTTTGGCCTCTATAATTACAAGAGGCACTCAAAGTGGTGGTCATTAGCTTCCAGACCTTTATCAGTACAGCAAACTGCTGGAGTGTGTGTACACACTGTTTTTGGTAGACTCTGTATATATTTATGTGTGTGCCTGTCTATCCATCTGTAGTTGGTTCTTGTTATTTGTGGCAGTTATGTTCTATTACATTGCCACAAAGATGAATTAATGAATACTGAATCACTGCTTCTGGAAAAATACAGGATTAGGTTCCTATGAGCCTCTGATTACAGTATTTTCATCAAATGATCAACCCATAACCTTGTTTTGTATTTCCATTTAAAGACTTTGTATTTAATATACATTGCTGCTTCATGAACACTGAATGCACAGCACATGAATGAGTGAAGTTTATCTAACACATACACAGTATTTCTTCCGAAAGCTATACCACAGGCTTCTCGTGCATGGGAACACTACACAGGACTTCAGCACAGCAGTCGGGGCCCATGTTAAACAGCAAAACCACCAACATAAAGCAAAAGAAAGCATGAAAACACGGTTCCAGTAGATGGCAAAAGGATACTTGTTTACAGTCTGAGAAC